CCACTGGCTCGTCCAGAAAGTGACTCCACAGACATCCACTTTTGCCGCCCACCTCTCTCACCTGCAGTGCCTGTTTGACTTTAAATGACCCTGACCTTTTGAGAGTAGAACCACTGGCACCTAAGAACAAATGTCGTAATAAGTTTATGCTGCCGTATTAGCAAGATTTGTAGCTGATGGTCAGTTTTAAATCTTAAGGGATAGAACGAATATAAGCTTCTATTTTAAAACTTTTCAAGCATCTCTGAGCTGAAATGTTTTCCTTGTTAACGCGATTTAATTAAAGGAAACATTAATTCAATGTGGTTCTTCTCAAAAAAATTGTTTGGTAAATCAAATACTTAAATGTTTAAAACCCATAAAAGCAAAATGGCACCTGATGATTTGCGGGAAGCTGTGGGTGTTTTCGGGTGGTTAAGGAGGATGGAAGGTATCCAGTATGATTCGCGATTCTCGGGGATCTCCAGTTTGCAGCATTCGGAGCCAACTGTAGCGCTTGTAGCCGGAAGAATCGGCGGATAATTAACATTTTGTTGCAACTTTTCTTTGATTTCTTTGGAAGATCGCTGAAATTTAAGCGAAAAATATAAATGATTAAGAAGTCAAAAATTTCGAATAATATTCTAACATAGCTTATGTCATTAAATATTCAATAATTGCTTGCTGTGCTTAAAGCTTCAAAATTTAGCCGCAATCAATCAAATCTTCAGCTGAAGATCAACAATTGAATCGACTTAACTATATCGTCTCCCCCTAGCAAGAAAGTGGGGAAATTGTTAATTAGATTAGGCTAGTCGATTTCTACGACAAATCAGAATGCAGCAAAATTAGAATTCGCAATTGAAAGCTCTAGTGCTTTTTTCTGTTTTCAGAGGGGTGGAAGTTCTTTAGTAGATAGCATAGGGGAGGGGGTGTGAGATTGTTGAGTAGATCACAAAAATTTTTTGATTTCTATATCGGATAAACGAAAAAAATGAACGATAATTTGAAATTGCACTAAACGCTTTTTGTTTTTATTTCACATAAAAAGAGTATGCTAATCCAGATAAATCAAATTTTGACTTAACACGTATCTTTCGGGCGCCAAAAACTAGCTCATAATTCTTGATTTTCGTAAAAATTATCGGTTTTGGCAATTTAAAATTTTTGCTTGATTGAATTTTTTTGGAAGATCGATTGGTTTAGCAAACAAAGATGACTGGTTTAAGTTAAATTTCAGGTTTTGGAGAGGGCAACCTTCTGAATATATGGAAAATCTTTTGCCTGTAATTGCTAAATAACTACTCAAAATTTTTGTTTGTTCGGAGATAATTTACAAATTATTCAGTGAAAATAGCAGCGAAAAGCTCAAATTTTTTCCAAAAAATGTGTCATTTTCGACAAAAAAACTGGGATTTTTGGCTAGTTCTGTATTTATGCTGGGCCGTAAATTGATTTTCATAATACTAACCGTTAGGAAGTAGTTAAATCGTGAGAGTAACGTAGTCTTCCCACTAGAAGGAGGTCCCATAACTATAATCTGCGGAACATCACTAGACGAGCCAGACCTTCCACCATTTTTATTGTGAGCTCCGCTTAGCATAACTGCTCGGTTAACCTCATTCTTCTCAGTTCCTATTGCAGTTGAACAGTCAATGTTGGCCATATTGTTCGCTGAGGTTATTCTTCGTCTAGTTTTTTGATTGGGTTGTACCTTCAATCCGTTACTATTTGTCGATATTCTATTTTTGTCAAAGCTTGTGCGTTTTCCGTGGCTGGTTTGCTTTTTTTGCGTTTTTGAGGGTGAGTTTGTTGGTGTTTTTAGAGCTGTAGCTGTATCGGTTTCTCCGCCTGTTGTATTTGAAGAAGATTGTTTTTGTTCGTTTGAAAGATCCTCAACTTTGTTCAAAAAACAATTCGGCGAAGGACTTCTTACTGTTACAGAAGTTGGTACGTTCGTCGCAGATGAAGATAACTGTGTACATGATGACGGTGTTTTGATAACGTAAGCATTAGAATTACTGCGTTCATTACAGTCACTTGATAAACCGACCGTGGTTGTTGCATTTGTAGTAACGCTGTCTTGTTTCAAAGATCGACTAAAACTGAAACTAGAGTAAAGTTGCTCGGCTTCTTTTTGACGCTGCAGCTTTTTCTGCTGCTTTACTCGAAAATGTAACATTTTTCACTTTTTATCCCAAAAGAAATACCAACTGTCTGTAGTGGCAGTAAGCGACCAGAATGAAAAGAGGAAATAATAGCAATTAGTGATAACGAATCTTGCCGTCAGCAAAATCAGGTTCAATTAGATTGATAAACTCCGCGATAAAATTTTAAAAGCTACGATGCAAAATGGTTAAAAATTTCCTTTTATGGATAGAGTTCGATTAAAATTAGCTTTGTTTTTTTTTTCATCAAAAAGTGTTCAACCGAGTAAGATAACAAACAAGAAAAAGAACGGATTATTTGGTGATAGTTTTTGTAAGAACTTGTCTTAAATCAGTCCAAAAAATGATAAAAAAAAGTTTCTACCGTCATTTAAACTATTGGTAAACTAACAGCTTTTCACCACTTTTAACACAAAACAGTGAGACTTGAAGCCCTTCTCAAGTGTCATAAATTATAGTCTCACTCTAAAAAGAGAATAATAATTTTTGGTACAAATGTTTTCCAATTTGATAGCAGAGCTAATCTAAATATTAGTCTCATCTTTTCGTTCCAAATGATTGATTGAAATTTCTGATGATGCAGAGGGACTCGCTTGACGCGCGTGAGCTTACATGGAATTAAGCAGACAAACTTTGAAAAAAAAAATAGAAGCGAAAGGCAGAAGCATTTCTTCAATAAAGAAAGTAATAACGGGAACCGCTTAATTACTATTTGAATTGCGTTTCAAGAAAATTCACGTGATAAGAAAGGTGAATATGGATTAAGAATAATTTGAACGCCCTTAGTTTTTATATGTAAAAGACGTTTTTTATCATTTCATAATTATATCAACTCAATTCATTTTTTGATTTTTAAATTGATGACGCTCACGCTAGATTTCGGCCTTTGATTTATAAATAGCTCATCTAATTTTGATGAAAATGGGGGTAAGTCAACCTTTTGTTTGTTTTCAGTTTTTTTTTGGTTGGTGGGGGAGTTTGGACACTTTACAAAATAACCAGACCGACCCCAATTGAAGCTCTACGTGGATCCATTTTGGTAACACTGTTACATCGAACCCAATAATATAATCATTTGGGTCTGCTAGTAGCTTTGTCTGCTTATTGGTCTCTGGCCAGAAGGAGGATAGAATAGATAGAAATTAAGTTCCCCTGAAGAAATTGTGATGACATCTCCCCTCTTTTTCTCCGTGCGTCATCAAATTTCAATCTGCTGCATCACGACTGCAGTAACTGCCATTAAAAGGTCTATCAAAAAGGATGAGCCAAAGAGCTGCACCAGGTTTTTAAACTTTCTCTGTCGAGATTTAAAGCAAGTTTTCATTTCGGAGTGAAAAAGGCAGGGCTACTCTAAGCTCAAGTACTCTGATATATTTATCATATTTAGGTTGAATAAGCATAGCGGGCGAAAAGCCTAACCAGTAAGACTGACTGATTTTCAGGTGTTTGAATTCATTGTTTTCTTATTTTCATTCAAACTTCTAACATTTTTTGCAAAAACTAATGTCAATATAAATTTAAGTGTATACTGAAACTTTGGTATGGCCAGGCTTAATGATATACTCAATGTTGAAAAGTCACATCTTATATAAATTTATTATTTAATTTAATCAGATATTTTTTGTGGATTTCTTTCCAACGCCCAATTTTCCCAGCAAAGTATCGTATATCGCCAAAACAGAGTATTTGCGGCTTTTTTCACCACCATGCTTCCATTTAAGCCTGCTGAATTTTTATCAGGAAACATAGTTTTTAAACTGCCCGATGGATAAATCTTTGATCAGGGCTTACTTATTTCCGATGAAAGGGATTCAACCAAGGGTAGTCAAAATAATTGATCAATACTTTGACAAGCAACAAAAAATTGTAATCAAAGCGATACGAACATGAAAAGGATAATCACTTAAGGAGATTGGAATTTAATGAAGCGAAATCATCGAAAAACGATTTTTGGTCATTTGTTTCAGGGTCGAGTTGATCAGACTTTCGAAGAAAATGGAATATTTGTGCAGATCCAAAGGGTCTCCTTTGTACTATTATGAAATAACCATTTTTGGCTGACGAACCCTAAAAATTTTCTAAGGAAAAAAACGTAATTTCTTAGTTAAATGATTTAAAAAAACTAAAAACGCCTTTTTCGGCCCGTTTTTTCAAAATTTTACCTGCGGCGCAGAAAAGTTAACCAAAATAAAGTCTTTTTAGTGGCTTGGGAGAGCTCGGTAACCAATTTGGTTGACCTGCATAAAAATTCGACAAATTTTTCGAAACTTTTTTGAGAATCCGACCCCCCCCCCCCCATCGAGAAAATCCTAGACCCACCCCTGCTTGTGATCAATTTTTTTAAATTAAGAGAGTTAGCCCAAATTGCCAATTAGCCCAATTTCGGACAATTAACGCGCGATTAGTTTCGCGCTTTTAACTTGTCAGCGGAAATTTAGAAATCGTTCCAGAATTGGTTGAAAAGTGCTATTCTTCATAATTGCTACCTTACTATGAGCGAAATCCATAATTGTGTTTTTGATATGGCGTGTGGGGGTGATTTAAAAACACTGCTCTATACACCTTAAAAGGCAGTCGGAAAAATCAGGGCTTTGCCCCGATATGAGCAATCGTGTTGTTCCGAGTTTCAAAGAAAACGGAATATATATGCTTCGGGTAGTTTTTAGTTGTTCAGTTGATTTTCGGCGATTGAAAGAAAAATTGACAAAAATTTTCTTATTGCTTTTTGAAGATACCAACTTACTGAGTTCAAAGTGTACCAGAATAAACTATAAGCTTTGAAGAATTTATTCGTAATGCCGAGAGCGTAACGCGAATTTTTTATGCATGGCTGAATGTCCCGCACAGCAAAATGGCTTCAGCTTGAACGGAGGTTAGCTAATTGGTCGTATTAAGTTCGTACCGCTAAAGGTTTTGCACTTTATCTTTGATTTTGTCCAAAATTTATAGATTTCCAATATTTTATTTTCCCAAAATCTATTCGATAGGGATCAAGGGAGAGTCGGAACATTCAGGGCTTTGCCTTGATATACGAGCAGTCTTGTTGTTCCGACTTTCGTAGTAACGGAACATTGGCGCTCGTTGTGTTTTTTTTCTTCAGACAAATTTCGACTCGTTGGCGCTCGGGGTGGTTTTTTCTTCAGACAAAATTCGACTAGCAATTTTTGACATTTTTTATCATTCGAAAGGCATTGTTGTCTTGAGCTTCAATTTGAAAAAATATTTTACCTGTGATCATTTTTCTTAATGTTATGGGTGTTTTAAGATTGCCACTTTGGTCAATTTGGGACACTTAACGCGCGGTATAATTTGCGCTATTAACGCGTTAGCGGAGAATTAATACGTCTGAGAAATCCTTCCAAATTGGTTGAAGGAGGCTTACTTGCCATAAATTATTTATTTTTTTATATGGCGTGTGGGGGGATGATTTCACAAAAAATCTCAAAATATATAAAAAAAGTTTTTTCCGTTTTATTTTGTTTCATATAACTTTTTCATGTTATTACTGCTCATAGACCTTAAATGGCAGTCGGAAAATTCAGAGATTCGGCTTGATGCGAGCAGTTTTGTTCGTCTTCAGTATCTATCAAATGTGAACACTAAAATCACAACAAGCAAACACAAGATTCAAAGCCGGATACTATAAATCATAGCAGGATACACTTAAAAAAAAAACTTTTTTCGGGTAGTTGTGTTTGATTAAGTATGCCAGCCAAAGTTAAATAGATAATCGCGCATGATTGCCTACTTTTAAAATTGCGCAGAATAGGGCATGGAGCGGTTAACCGGTTTACAGGTTAACCGATAATTGAAATTTTAGCCGGTTAAAATTTTTTAACTGCGAAATTGTTCAACAGAGGTTATTGCTAGTACACACTCGGTGTTTCTCATGAACATTTTCTGATTGTTACGATAGAGAAACACTTTCATCTTATTTATCTTTCATATGAAAAAAATGTGTATGAAAACATCAAAGTTTTAGAAAATTCCCATTGAACTTGATTTTGATATATCGAGGGATCCAAATATCGAAATACTGTTAAAAAGATCAAAAAACGGAAAAACTGCCCTATTCGCTATTTCTGTTATCCTGCTTTTGAACAAAAAACGATTCAATTGAGTGAATTCAAATTTGTTTTATTTGATTTCAATTGTTTTCCTAGAAAATCAGGAGGGATGCAACGGTTCAACAGTTAAACGGTTATTTTAATCCGGCTAACCGGTTAGACTAAGAGATCAATCACTCAATGCACTTGTACAGGATAACATGATGCGTGCTTATTGGATGCAAAAATTATACAAAAAAGCTACATACGAATTAGTTGACTCCTGTTACACCCATCCGGAAAGGATATAGAGTTCATATGCATAATCACTGTTGGTAAGAAACCCCACGAGGCTGTTGTTCTCATTCAATGGCCGCTTATTATGTAAATCCTCCTCTTGGCCACAATCGACGAATGGTTGTTTTCGATACAAATCTACATTCAGGTTTTTTTGATCTTTTTATGCTTCATATGATTGTTGCTGATCGAGTTATATTTTACTAACCTAACTGCATAGGGTTTGTTTAATGACTAGTCATGTTCATAGCAATTTCCCCCTGAAGCTATTTTTAGGCGCATCTTTTAGGCGGTAGTGGATGAGGCTAAATGAACATTTTGAGGACATCCTGTACCAGTGGGAATGATTTAGGCCGGTGTGAAGGGAATTATCGTGTCTTATCCGAGTAATTATAATACTTTTCTTTTCTTTTTGAATGCTTCAATTCTTTCTTCTAAAGTATGTATGATTCGTAAACGTTTCTTGCTTTTATTAAAAGCGCATTGTCGTAATCGACAAGACGAAGTTATGTGACTTTTGGGCGGTACAACAGTGGCGAATTACATACAACGTTTTTCATGAGTCCCGAAAATATTTTGAATGCAGTTCTGATCTGAACTGATGCAGTTCTGATCTGAACTGATCCCAAATCACTGACAAGTAAATTAATTCGAATCAACGGAAGTTGAAAAGTCAAAAATGGTTATTTTAATTGATACAGCTTGTTAAACAAACAAAAGTTCCCCCTAACCGCGGCGTCATAAATTTTTCTGAAAAAAAATAACTCAGCAAATTGTCAATTTTTTTCGGTTTTTCTCCTAAACAAAACAGTATTCGAGATGACAAATAGACTTCAAAATTTTGAATATCTTCAGTTTTTGGCACTGTTTAAGACATTTTCAGTTTCGGCTCTGTTGTACTTCGACTTTGTTGAACGGTGTATAATTTCTTCACATTAAAATATAGAACAGTTTCATCCGGATCCAAAGCAGTATTTTCAGTTGTTTTTCTAGCATCATTTGTTTTGTTTTTGATACAGTCTCCATCGATATACAACTTTGAGAGCGTCTTTCGAAAATTCTCATAAGAAATGCCCAGAAGTGATTGAAATGGTCGTACGGGTGTCACAGCCTTGCATAAAATAGCTAAGATCTACAACTGGCGAGTTGTTCACTTGTTGAATAAACCTTAGAACACAAATAATCATTTAGCTTGTTCCTTTTGTTCAGTAATTATTTGTTAAATTCCCGTGTAGTCATCAGTAGTTGCCTCTTTTATCAAAAATTGAACAGATCGCAACTTAAATACCAGTTTTTCTTCCTAGACTTTTTCTCAATAAGGAATAATTTACCCTTTTAGCCAGCAACTCATTATTCTTGAGGTAAA